CTGGGGTGTCGGCCATACGTCGGAGCCAAACTAGTGCCGATCCACTCAGTCGACCATGGGCTACAAAACCGCACTAGTCTCAAGTTGGCAACACCTCAAGAAAAAAACCCCTAGAAGTTGATATGTTTCGTTAAAATCTGTCTGCTAATAGGAAGGTAAGATTTTTTGTTTCTTGTTCTTTAGGATTTAAGAGAATATCGTAAGTTACGCCGTCAATGATGATATTTTGTTAATATTTTAGTTTGGTTTCCAGCTCGAAAAGTCTTAATTTCTGGTAAGAATTATTCCGGAAATAATTAGTAATCCATGTAGTAATCTCAGACGATTAAAAAAACCAGTCTCGCTACTACGTGTAAGTTAGTACTCACAACTCTTGGGCTTATCCCAGCTCAGAACCACCTGAGTCTGGCTGGCTGCAATCAGAGAATAATTAAACAAATAAAAACGATAAACCTACTATCCGTTTCAAAATACAAGGTAATCGGTTGTTTTCCCTCACCCTCACCCTCACATCCTCTTCTGTCCTCTTTTCTTCAAAGTGATCGTTCACAAACCAGGATAAAATCCTACTGCAATCCTACAATAGGATTTTATCTGATTTTCTGCTGGCTTACCCTACTATTATCCGTTTCAAAATTCAAGGTAATCGGTTGTTTTCCCAATAACTTTTGACTGGAGAGAGCTAGAGACTTGCAGTTAAATCGAAAGCCAAGACTTTTTAGCATCAGAAAAAAATTCACCTTGTCCCAACACCGCCTACAGGTGGTGTACCACATCGATCTTTGAAAGATAATGTCGCCGTTCCTTCAGGAAACAAAGCATTTTAAACTCAAATATCATCAGTTGATAGCTCATATGTGACTCTACAAAACTAAGCATGCTCCACATCTCCAGCTCTTATGGTCCCAGAGTTATTGGCATTCCTTGAGGACATGTCTATTTCTGAGCAGATATGCGTGGGAACACTTAGAAGACATGCTTCATAGACAATCAACTGTGCTGATCAGCGTAGATTATGGATCAACCGCAAAAATTTGCCTAGGACAATTCTGAGTCCTTGAGGTTTTTGAGAATGCCTCTGGAAAACCTTTGGCTAATAGATTCATGCTGAAAATAGACATTTTTTTGTAAAACCCTAAGTAACATTTCTACAAAATCTCTGTTCGAATGTTGCAAATCTATCACATTAATTTACTCTTTTGCCTAACTTCATTCATGTGTAAATAAATTATTTCTTTCTGTCAACAAGCGACATAATTATTTCTATTTTTCTATTGGTTGATTAACCGATCCAAGAAAAAACAAGCATTTTACGAAGTCGCATTCGGTTCATGCAGCTTTGAAAATGTCTTCACTATCGATTGAGATCTATCAAAACTCATTCAGAAGCCCGAATATTGTTGAGAAATAAACTTTCTCCAAAAATTAACATATTTCGGGTGTTTTCAGCCGAAGTTTTATTATTGACATAGCGTTGTTAGGAAAGTTCTACTAAAGCTAGTATTATCAGATTTATATATTAACTTAACTGCCAAAAAAATAGTTTAAACGTTAGATTTGATATAAGTCACAAGCTGACCTGTCCGAAACTATCCAAAACTGACTTCATCATGTTCTTGAACTTGTTTCAAGAAACTTAGATGTGCCTGATAATCTATGTTCTATGGGCTTTTGGAGTTACTCAACAGTAGTAAAGACTAGAAATTTGCAACTCGATTCGAGTCCCCATCCTAAGATCGGGTAGAGTTCGAGTCATATTTTCTTAACCCATCTAGGTCTCTCGTGAAGATTAGTTCTAGTATTCCTAGAAAATCCGATGCCATATCTAAACAACTGAAAATAAAGATCGTACGCATGCATAGCGCTGGACTTAACTATGAAAAAAATCGAACTATTCCTACTTTAGTTTCTTGCAATATAATTCGGTTTTTCAAAGATCCCTTAAAAAGTCTACGCTAAAGACGATTTTTTAACTTATTTTCTTATGAAGCAACATTTTCAGTCTTTTCTATTGGTGCACCAGTATTTACCGGTTGCTATTCCATGCTGTTTTTACAAAAAGCTTTTTGTAACGCAAAATAATCTTCTAGTATTTTTTTTCACTACTAGGTTTTGTAGAGCAAACATTTCTCTACGAAATGAGGTATAATAGTACTTTTCGTCTTGATTCTGTAGTGAGATATGAAATGCTTACTCAACACAAAACTAAGTCGTCATCAAAAAAAGTTTAATATATTGTACTTTGTAATCAATATGATTGAGAAAAGAAATAAACTATACCAGTGCATGCTCGATCGTATGGTGAAAAAAGATACAGCTCTCTACTTGCTTCTGATGGAATTTTTTTTCTAGAATTAACCGCAGCCATTACATATTAAATGGGTAGATAGTACTTATTATTTTAAAGACTTCTTGAAAATGTCCAGACTCCCACGTTTGTTAATTCCTCAACAATTACCAACCCATTTTCTCAGAATATTGCGTGAAAAGTTTGAATGTGATTATCATGATAACTCTCAGCCAATGCAACGAGACGAATTACTCAAGCAAGTTGAAAAAAATAGTCCGAATGCTATCCTGTTCACTTTAACAACTCAGGTTGATAAAGAAATCTTAGACAGATGTGGAACAAATTTAAAAGCATTAGCCACAATTTCGGTTGGATATGATCATGTTGATATTGCTGAATGCAAAAAACGAAATATTCCTGTAGGATACACACCAGGCGTTTTAACAGATTCAACAGCGGATTTAACTATAGGATTACTGATAGCTACGGCAAGAAGATTTGAAGAATCTATACAATCGGTTCGCCACGGTCAGTGGGGTCTGTGGCAACTCATGAATATGTGTGGAAAATCTATAACAGACTCAACCGTCGGAATTGTGGGACTTGGACGAATAGGTAAAAACGAGCAGCAAAATACTTCTACTACTGTTGCTAAAATACTTCCGCCTTTTTTTATAGGAATGGCGGTTGCTCGCCGTCTGATACCATTTGGTGTGAAGGAAATACTGTATACTGGAAACAGTGAGAAAACATTTAAAGAAGAAGCGGATAAACGATTATTTTCATACGTTAAATTTTTCGATTTATTATCTCAGTCTGATTTTGTTATTATCACATGTGCGTTAAATGAGAAAACTAAAAATTTATTTGATATTGAAGCGTTTAAAGCAATGAAATCAGATTCAATTCTAATAAATACTTCCCGAGGACCAGTTGTTGACCAAGATGCTCTTTACGAAGCATTATCCAATGGTCAAATACAAGCGGCTGGCCTCGATGTTACTGTGCCAGAGCCTCTACCTCCAACACATAAACTATTAACGCTGAAAAATTGTCTTATTCTCCCACATATTGGAAGTGCTGATGTAACAACACGAATGAAAATGGCTCAAATAAGTGTCGATAATTTATGCAATTATTTCGAGGGTAAACCAATGGTACACCAAATTCATCTCTAAATTTTTTTTGGTTTATTAAATAAACTGTAGCAAGTGATAGTTCAGCTTCAAGTCTTCAAAATAAGGATGAGAGTCAGTCACATAGACTAACGGTGATAATCTGCTTATTTTCGTTAAATGATTTACAAGAGAATGCGACTTCTTCAATTTCTGCTAAAGTAAAATAGTTGAATTTTAAGAGTCAATTTGCCTGGCTTAACTTTTTATAATTTTAACAACTTTGATTAAAATCTGAAGAAGGCATGGAATCAAAAACTTTTATTATAAAATATTCTTTTTTGAAATAAATTGTATAGTAGGATTTACTTTTAAGTAATATAAAAGTGCTTCATCGTCCTCCATAATGACTTTCGATTACGCCGTTCTACTTATTGCACTATAGTCTGTAATCTTTGTATGATAGTTCTCTAACACCGACTATCGACTACTTTCTTGTTCTTGTTTCGTCTGTCTCTTCTTTTGTACAGTACTACTTGTACTGTACAAGTTGTACTGCACAACTTGTTTTTCGTCTGGTTTATATAAAACTACAATAACTAAAACATGAAATTTAACGTATCTATTGCTAAGATCATTGTAATTTGTAAGTGATTCACGTACTACTTACAAAAGTCGTCCTCATTGATAGTTTCATTCGTAGAGAAACTTTTGACGAACTTTTTAGGTCAACGTATGCTCTTGTGTGACTAGTACAAGTCAATTGTGTAGTCGGTTTTTTATCTTACTTACAGTGTAAGAGTACATATATAGATAAACTTAGTTTTACTTTTTGTACATATATAATGTTACTGAAATAGAAATCGAACAAGTATTAGTATCAGTATTAGAATCAAACTTGTTTCCGTTCATATTCAAGCCAATTTTTAGTATAATTTTAAATATCAATAATTTAACACAATGCCAAACTGTCCCGGTAAGTGAATCATCTTTTTTTAACGATATTTAATTTGAAATATGCGAAACTCCGCTAGATGACTTTAAGAAGCGTTAATAACGGTAACTTTTCACTAAACTACCGTTTGATTATACTCACCGACAAGCTGCAGAATAATTCAAGAAGAACACTAAAGCAGGCATTGTTCAGAACAGTAATACTAAAACATTTTTAGTTTTAATTTTGAACGAGAACTAGATTTATTAAGGTCCGCACCTCCGGGGCAGAAATGCCGATTTTCGGCAAAAATATTGATTTTGAGAAAAGCACATGGTTGGATAGCCCAAAGTGTCTACTTTCTAATGGTATGATTTTTGTGTCGATAGGATAGGTTTTACATAGCTTTTGAGCGAGTTTTCCAGAAGCCCTATAGCAAAAAAAAATGACTTTTTTGCACTTGTACTGCATAAGCACACGCATGCGCCACATGTGGCCGCGCACGTGTTCATTAGATCCGTCATGACCGAAAACCTCTAGCAAAATATCAACAAATTATTTAACAGAACGCATTTAACAGAATCAAAACTTATTTTGCGTTTTTCTTAAGACTGCTTTTTAGTTTCAGGGCTTTCGCCACGCACAGGAATTCTCGGTAACGATACATCGGGGAAAGAAAATTTGTTTTTGGTTTGTAGATAACATTTATAGCTAGGAGTTGACAGAGTCAGATTTTTAAATTATGCTTCTATTTTTTATAGAAATGAGGATTTCTAAGAAACCTTCCAAGGATTTTTCAGATTTTAAAGTTGTATTAAGCGCCAGAAATCAGTAAACGAGAAATTGAAAAAGCTCTGTCAACTCCTAGGCATAAGTGTTTTCTGCAAAAAAAACTGCCCCAGCTCTCCATCATTTACCTGAAATGAGAATTCCTGTGCGTGATAGACGCCTATTTTTGGCCCTTGTTGTGGTACCCCCTCACGAACAGTTGCAACCCAAGTCGACGAAATCGCGGTATTCTAACAATTAATCGCGATTTCTTGAAAAGACGCAGATTAATTGCGATTAATTGTTGATTTTAAGAGATTAAATGGTTATTCTTATTCACCATTTTATTTTGCAGTAACGTATGTATATAACAAACACGATTTCGACGAGAAATACGCTTCTATTTAGATCATATTTTTATTTTAGAGTAAAAGGGAGTTGTCAAGTCTTCTCTATGATCCCTCAGAGCTTTAATTCGAGGAGCCTAGTGAACAACTGGTATCTGGGCAATGTCTAAAATCGACTTGTCGGAAAGGCTCTGACTTCAGTTGGTACTAAGACCTTTGCTGAGTGACTTACATGTCATTATACATAATAAACAATGAAAAAATAGAAAAAAATATGTATTTCCTATTATGGGTTCGAAGGGCTTAACTGCTTTTCTAGAGAAATGCGAAGTTTTTTTTGCCACCGTTGAGAATCTTTTCTCTAATCTTTTGATTTATAGTTCTTTTTTAAGAAGATCATTTCATGATTAAATATGTATTTTTTCAGTAAGGTTTTTGAGCCTTATGGTTCTTGTAAGTTTCAGAACATATTTAGTTTGATCTGGTACATATGGGTATACCATCAAAAAGTCAATAATACGTTTTTTTGTTTCAAATGTTTCCTTAGAATTCTTTTTGATATGTGTTTTTGACTTTTCTAAGTTGCTATTTCGTCTTTATCAGATTCATTTACGTTCCATGAGAAAAAAACGCATGGTGTTTTTAAATATGTAAATGGACATTGTTTTGACGTTGGTTATCGTTATTCTGATTTAAAATATTTGGGTGATGGTGCATTTGGTAAAGTTGCTTCTGCCTATGATAATGTGACAGGTGAAAATGTTGCAATTAAAAAAATTCAATTACCATATGCTAATCGATTGTATTGGACACGAACAATTCGTGAATTATGTATTCTTCATGCAATAAAACACGATAATGTGGTGCGACTGTTAGATTGCTTCACAAATGCAAATTGTGCAGAAAACATCGAAGAAGTTTATTTTGTATTTAATCTAATGGATATGGATTTACATGAAATAATAAGAAAACATCGAAATGAAGGCGATACATTAACATCAGAACATGTTCAATTTTTAATGTATCAACTCGTTAGAGGATTGAAATTTATTCATTCAGCAAATATAAGTAATATTAGTTAAACGACTCACGGTTTCTTATGCAATTTTTTTATAAACACATGATTGCCTTGTATTTGTAAAGGAATAGTCTAAAAGAGTTTGTGTGTGTTTACTAAGATTTCACTTCGCAAAGAGTTTTTATTTTGAGAATGTAAATCTTAGAAACAAAACTATAGCCATGTTTGTTTCTTTTTTAGTGCATAGGGATTTAAAGCCTTCAAATATATTTGTTACAAAAGAATGTGATTTGAGGTTAGGTGATTTTGGTCTTGCAAGAATACCAGAAGCAGATGGAGGACAAATGACGGAATATGGTAAGTCATACTGTATATTTCGTGTAAAATCCTATTCGATTTTCTTTTTTAGTTACAACTCGTTGGTATCGGGCTCCAGAGTTGATGCTTGCTAGTGGCTATTATGATAAGAGTGCTGATATATGGAGTGCTGGTACGTGTTCCAATTTCTCATTGTAGTATATTTGATGAGCTTTTGATCTTTTATTTAGGTTGCATATTCGGCGAATTATTACGTGGACAACCGTATGTTTCATTCAAAGTATTTATTACGTGAATTTTCATTTGTTTTTCTCATTTTTCTAGACTATTTCCCGGTACCCATTATGCAAATCAACTGGATTTGATATTTGACTGTATCGGTTATCCAAAAGATCCACAACAAGATCTGCAATGGTTACCCGAAAAGGCAAAAAATTATGTTGTTAAACGTTATCAGAAATGTAAAACATCATTAACTGAAACATTTAGTTTCAAAAATTCAGCATCATCGATTAATAAACTAACAACAATGGAATCATTAGCGTTGGATTTATTAGAAAAAATGTTACAATTTTCACCATCGAAACGAATAACAGCTGCTACTGCTATTAGCCGTATATATCAAAACTAACATTGTGCATATTATATTCTGTCTGAAATCCTTTTTCTCTATTCCAGATTCGTACTTTGGTATATATCGTGATTCTGCAGACGAACCCATATCCACTCATCGATTCGAATTAAATCTCAATCATTTTTCAATGGGTGAACTTAAAGAATTATTATGGAATAAACTCCAATCTATTCAAGAAGAAATACGTTACAAATACGTGAAAGAACATCCTATGGACATGGGAATATGAACTATGTACAATTTTTCTCCAGACACCTTCTTCATTCTGATGAGAAAGACGGAATTGAGATCTTTCTCCTTAAAAATGTAGTTTTTTAGAAAATCTCCATTTTATATCCGTTCGCGCGTGGCGAAAATATTTGAATTTCTATTAGTTGAATTTGGTGTTTTTTAATTTTGTTTCTTGTCTCAAACTGTGCATTTTGAAATTCTAAATTTTTGTGTGTCAAATTGAATTCATTATTTTATTGTGTAAATTAATTTTCAATATTGTCTCTGATCGGTTCTTAAATCTTTCTTGTGTTGAGGTGTTGATAACTCACTTACCTGGCATTGTTTGACTGTTAAAGTTTTATTTTATTGTTCGTTTTTGCCGTCTGTTTGTTAATTTTATTTAAGCATCTTTTTAAATTAAAAAATTGTTTGAGTGTGTTATCAAACCAAACTTGGACCATACGTGTCCGAGTAGGTGAGTAAGAATCAATAGTTGATGACTAATTGCTTTACTCGCGTTCGCGATACCTTATTCAAATCATCTTTTGTAGCAATTTATTATTATGCTAAAACTAATCTTTTTTTTTGCTTTTACGAATGAAATTACATTTAGAGATATATTTTCTTTTGAGATAGGCAACAATTTTAAGACAAATTGTTAATGCAGCTATGTATTAACAATACAATATATCTAGAGATCTCCGCCCGCAAAATACCGATAGCCGATGGTTGGTTTTACACCGTGGAGGCCGAAGGCAGCCAAAATTTTCGATCTTTTACGCTGAACACAGGGGAAAGAAAGATTTTTCAGACATCCACCGACGATATAGAATCCTCGCATTGAACAGAGTAAAGAAAGAACATATAAATATCTTAATAAGTAGTTTTTCTTCGTACTAACTTTATTTATTCCAAACATTTCGATTGATAGTTCAATCTTCCTTAGTGAATACAAACATTAATTAAATTACATAAACAAAACAATTTGAACAGAAAACTTTAATACAGGGATATTCTTCCCTTTTATATTTTTATATAATCTATAATACAGACGATAATAAAAAACTGTAGTTTGACAAGTATACTATATTTATATCCTATTTTTATTTTATTTTTCACTTTTTCCCTGCCTAGACAATTCTTACATTATTATCAGATTATGTAATTTAAAGGACTGATCTAAGAAAGAGAGGCAAAAAACAGACCAAGTACGGAGAATTTATATATATATATGTTAAGACAACCTTTTCTCTTTTTTGTCTCTTAATCATGCATACAATTAATGTTAAAACTTAAAAATACAATCAAATAAAATAAACTAACGTTAATAAAAACAAAAAATATAAAAAGAAGGACCGATAAAAAACCTTTTGAAAAGAAAAAAAAAAGGTTTTTCTTTATCAAAAATAACATTATGTCCAAAATTAATTAAGTATTCTGGACTAATTCAAATACAAATGATTTAGAAGGTTTTGAATTAGTTCAACATTCGGAGAGTAATCCAGAATGCTTAATTAATTTTGAACTTGAATTCACGGAATACATTAAATAATAACATGAATTTATTATCTATAGTAAAATAAAAAACTTTCTAACATTTGTCTGGTTCGCTGCTGTTGTACAAAGATTTTTGCGCCGCCGCCGATAGGAACAGGTCTGAACGCTACCGCTGAGCATTTTTTATCAGCACAGATTTCTAACTTTACAAAATTTATTGGATTCTACTGCATCTGCTACATCGAAAAAAATAGTCGGAAGTTCTTTGGTACTTTTTCTTTTGGTACTAGACGCTTACTCCCTACGTATTTATACTATAAAGCTTACTGAATGAGATGAGACAAAAATCCCGTCTCGTGCAATTACGTACTTCTACCATCGCAACTTAACCTGTTTAAAAACGTTTCGTCCCATTCAGTCAATTTTGTTACCTTTTCCGCTTCTTAGGTTTGGTAGAGCTGAAACTTGCGTTGTATATAGCCAGGGTGGAATACAGATCACACAAAAATTTTCATCTCTCTAACTCTCGTCGTTGCAGAGAAATTGATATCTCAATATAAGTAGTATAACAGACTAGTAAACAAAGGTGACAAGCATCAAAGCACTTTAAAAAAAACATCTTAAGATAATATGAATTGAGTTATCTTACTTTAGGCTAGATGCGGACAAAACTAATTTGTAACCGACTTACGTGCATCTTCAGATGTAACTGAGTCATTCATCCACCTTACTTTAGCCGCAGTTGGAATTCTGAAAAAGTTTATAGTTAGTGTTTTTGTAGGTGAAATGAAAGTGCGTTGGTTGGACATATCACCGGAACGAAAAAAATACAGTTGGTTTTGAGTTACTGAAAAGTGCGTTTTCGTATCCATTTTTCTGTAAGCTGTACTCCACTCTGGCTAGAATTCTTCTTTGCGCCATTTTGTTTCAAATTTTTCCTAAACTTTTGGAACTACCCTCGCCAAAAATAGAAAATCTTCTGGGTTATCGAGTGTGGTAGATACGAAAACGCACTTTTCAGCAACTCAAAACTAACTGTAGTTTTGGTCCGGTGATATGAGATAAGAAAAAAAATATAATGATGTCGTTGGAAACTCTGGCGTGTAGTATTGTGGAAACGAGTATATTTCTTTGATAATCGGATTGAGGCTGGAGACATTTTATCACTGGGAGGACTTCTACAAACATGATAGTCAAAACATTGATCAAAATACATTTTTCGAACCAGTAAACAAATTCTGACTTGACTTTGAATTCATTCTAAATAGCAGAGATTGACCATTCTATTCAGAATACACACTTCACTAATTTTAATAAGGATTAAAAATTCGACTTATTTGCTCTTTCATTGGTTGATATCAGAACTGTTTAAACAAACCATAGATCAGTTAATTATTGTGGTATGCTCTGTCATGTATATATATGTTTTCTGAAATTTTTATTTTATATCACATTGTACAGAGTATCTAGTCCGACACCAAAGGAATGTTCGAAAATGTGATCTATCTAAAATAGCTCACATTTTGCCTACGATCATGACAATCATATTTCAAATTCATCAAACAACTTTCATTGCCATCAGAGATCTCAGATCTCCTAATTTTTGGAACTTTTCTGAGTTGAAAACTCTTATTTTTAAATTGCGCTAAAATTTGGCTGATAAATGCATCCTATGACAGCGATATCACGTTTATACTGGATTGATGAGCATTGAATCATAATATTTCAATAATTCATCTTAAGTCTGCTTTGTACACAAGCTGTTCTCGAGACCTGTATATTTTTCGATCGATTCAAACAATCCACGAAGTTGAATGTGCTTTCAACACACAGAGCGCTCAAAAACTGGAAAAAATTCTGACATTTTTTATTTTTTTACAATTTGTTTCTACTCACAGAATAACTTTACAGAAAAAACATCGAAGTGGGAACAAATGCGTCTTAGAACTGATTGAAACGGCTCGTTTTCTGAGTGTCTATCTCGAATACATGAACATATGTTGTAGTCACAATTCAAATTCGGCCAAATTTAGTATTTTTGACTAAGAAAACTTCCACAAGTTGGATTTGATGCAGAATAGATAACATATAGCAGTCCTTACTGTATTCTGATCTTTTAGTTTTGTTTTTCAAATTTTTTTCATTTCGCTTCATAGTTGTTGAAGAATAAATGAAAATATAAACAAATAAAAAGATATGTTGAATGAACTTTTCTTCTTTTGTGCCATATGTGGATTATTTCTATGATGATACGTTCATTTTTGTTGTCTATAAATACGACTACAGTTAGTTTGCTAGAAAATTACGTAGAATACTTTTTTATTTTAGTAAATAATTTTCGGAACTTGTATAGATACACCATCAGAACTTCTTTGAATCTAATTTAGTCGGGATACTAGATTTCATGCTGTTCTATCCTCAGCTCTATTTAAAGATTTTGATGAATTACACCGTGTTTTCCATCTCTCACTCATCGGTGTCTACAAAATCACCTGAAGATATAACTTTCTACACTTCCTGAATTTTGAGAGAATCTGAGATAAATTTGAAATAACATGAACATTGAATAATTTCTTATTTTTTCCCATCTAACGATAAATAACAAAAAAAAAAAAACAAGAACCAAAGTAAATATCACAAAAGAAACTGAAAAGAAAAAACCCAACATTCTAGAATTATCAAGAAGGATAAATTATGTAAAAAGAAAGAATGAAATAAATATAAACAGAGATAAAAAGATAATAATCGAAAAAGACTTCGTTCATTCCAGAGTGTGCGTGTGTCTGTGTGTGTGATCACCGTGTATTGAATAGAAACTCAATCTTAATGATGAACGCCATTTGTGGTACCATTAGTTTCGAAACCATTTTTCTTAGGAGTTAATTTAACAAATTCTTCTCCATTTATTTCCAATGACTTTTTATTATTACGTTCAAATAAACATGGGAGCTCAAGATGATGACCTTTTAAAAACTCTAAATTCTAAACAGAGACAATATATACGTAACTTAAAAACGAAGAGCTCTTTAAACGTTCACGTACTTCACCAGCATAAGAGATGAGAGGCGATAATTCCAATAAAGAATCGGTTGCTTTTGTTGATCTAAATAATGATCAA